AGGGGGTATCATCCATTATAACAGTAAGTATGTTAATGTACTAGGCACTTAAGTTGAATAACATTACATTACAAGTTATTACAGTTTATATGTTTTTTTGACATCGGTTTCTCATTGATCCCAGTGATATTTTAAATGTGCAAATATATGCGTGTTATTCCTATGTGATAGTTCGTATGATTTGTTTTCTAGTGTTAGTGTCAGTACTTCCTTAATAGAAGGTGTTTGTTCAGACTTCCAATATCTAGGTAGACATGTGGTAGCAGCTATCAGAATGTGGCCTACTATAATTCTATCAATTCTACTGATGGATTCAGGGAATTTTTTTATTTTTTTTTAAATAGAGCTAGTTCAGATGTGAAACTATCTATGTTACTGTTCACTTTAATAATTAAGTCATGTATCATTTTACAATATTTAGTCAGTCTTGGGCAATACCACCATATGTGGGCCATATTTCCCAATCCCCTGCAGTCCCCCGCAGTCTCTCCAACACCTATCGCTGTACTTATTATTCATGTTGTGCAGTCTGGACGGAGCTAGATACCATCTATACAAAATTTTTAAATGATTTTCGTGATGATTGGAGCAAAAGATAGACCCTTCAGTGCTGAAAAAAACAACTGAATCATTCTTCCAACTTATATTGGGTACCCAGCTCTGTCTCCCAAGATAAAATGTGTTTCAGTTTAGTTGTTGGTTTATCATTGTGTAGCATATAACAGATAGATATAATGCCCTTCCTATTCAGGTCATGTAAAAATAGCTTTTCTAATGGTGATATTGCTAGTGCTTTATAATTTTTATCGGTTTCTGGTATGTTATATATTTATTTAAATTTCTCAATCACTAACTCACATTCATCCTTACATTCGGTCGACAGACTATGCTTAAATTGTAGCCTTTCATATGACAGAATAGAGTTTCCATGGAAAAAGTTGTCTATATGATAGAGTTGGTGTCCTTTAAATAATGTTAAGTCTAAGGTTGGGATATAATATTTTAAAGATTCAATTGGCATGGCTCTATATAGTTTTATCAAGTGACTAGATCCCAGGCTTTGAGTGTGGTCTTAGTAGTCATAAACATTTTAGTTTCTCCAGGTCTCCTTACAGGGCTTAGCCAGGGTAGCTGAAGTTGAAAGGGGAGAATGCTGGTTTCCAAAAATCTCCATCCATCTCGGCCTATTTTTTTGACTATTAAAGCTTACAACCACTGCAGCATTAGTTGCAAAGTAGTACTTTCTGAAATTTGGGATACCAATGCCCCGTGGAATTTTTGGTACTGCAGGGATGTAAGCTTAATTCTACTGGGTTTATTGTTCCAAATAAATTTAAGCATTATTGAATATACTTTGTTAAAGAATACATTGGAACAGATAAAGAGATAGTTCTGAAATAATACAGGATTTTTGGTAGGATCGACATTTTTATGGAGGCAAGTCTTCCTAATCATGATAACTCCATACAACCCCATCTCTCCATCTCCCTTTATAGGTCTGGTCATGCTCTCTTCAAGTTATGAATAGCATATTAGGTAAATGTTTCCATAAGTTAATAACTAAATATTTTAGGTAATCCCTCCTCCAATCGAACGGATATGTTAGTTTTAATTCATCCATGTCAGACTGTTGCAAATGAAAAGGTAGGGCCTGGGTCTTAGATATATTTAATTTATAATAGGACACTTCTCCAAACTGGAGTAGAATAGTATTGAGAGATTCCAGAGAGTCTTTTGGGTTTTTGAGTGCTAGTATGATGTCATCTGCAAATAACCCTGTTTTATGAGTGGATCCCTTAATGTTAATACCTGCGATTTCTGGGGTTGTCCTAATCAATTCGGCCAGGGGTTCCATCACCAGGACAAAGAGAATTGGAGATAAGGGACAACCCTGATGCGTCCCATCAGTTAGAGAAAACGTTCTGGATTGGAAACCCGAGGCCGATACGTGAGCTGTGGGTGCACAATATAGTGCCTTAATTGCAGTGATAAAAGATTGTGGAATATCAAATCTACTCAGTGTCTTCCATAGATATCCCCAATGTACCCCGTCGAACGCCTTCTCTGCATCCAATGAAAGGAGCAGAGAAGGAGTTTCTTTTGAATTGATATGCTGAATCAAGTTGATGAACCGTCTCGTTCCATCAGGTGCCTGTCTACCCTGAACGAACCCAACCTGGTCATTCTTGTTTAATAAAGGTATTAAATTAGCTAAGCGGTTCTCTAGTATCTTAGAATACATTTTTGTGTAAGGGATATGGGGCAAAAATTAGAGCATCTGTCAGGAGTTTTACCCGGTTTCGGCAAGGTGACAATCTGTGCGGACAAAGACTCTCCCAGCATCTTTCCCCCGGACTTAAAGGAGTTAAATAATTTGGACATATGGGGAATTAAAGTTTCTGCAAAGGTCTTATAATACAAAATGGTGAATCCATCAGGACCAGGGGCCTTACCAGACGACATGAGCTTGATCGCCTCGGCTATCTCTGCTTCAGATATATCACACTCTAGTTTTTCCAAATTGTCAGAAGAAAGCCGAGGTAATGAAACCCTGTCTAAAAAATTATTAATAGTTGCCTCAGATGGCTGGGTGAGATTTAAATCAGATTCCAAATTATAAAGTTCGCTGTAATATTTAGCAAATTGGTCACTAATCTTATTCGGGTGAAATATTTTTTGTCCCTGATCGTCTATTAAGTATGAAATTTTAGATTGGACATTCACATGCCGAAGTTTGGATGCCAGGAGAGTTGAGGCCTTTTTACCTTTTAAGTAAAACATTTTCTTGAGGCGTCTCACCATGAGAGTAGTTCTATCCAAATTTATTTTATGTATTTTTGATTTAAGCTCACCTATCGTTGCTGACAATGAGGAAGATGGGCCAAATTTATTTGCCTGATTTAGGTTGTACAGTTCTTTTTCCAAATTTCTTAAATTACTGTTATTTTTCCTCTTCAAGTAAGACGCCCTAGAAATGAAATGGCCCCTCAACACAGCCTTGTGCGCGTGCCATGTCACCTCGCCAGGAACCTCATGTGAAACATTTTCCAAAAAATAGTCGTTCAATACCCCTCCAGCTAGCGATCTATTTTCAGGATCATCTAATAAGTCATCACTCAGTCTCCAGTGTCTATTGGGGGAGGAAGAAACCATTTCTTCTATATGCAAAGTAATGGGAGCATGGTCAGACCAATTGATATCTAGAATATCAGATCTTGAGATGTGCAGTATGAGAGCGCCCTGTATCAGAAACCTATCCAGCCTGGAATACATGTTCTTGGATACGGAGTAAAAAGTAAAGTCCCTTTCATTCTCATGCATTAATCTCCATGGATCATACAGTCTGCATTCAACCATATATTTTGAACATTTCGCAGCTAGTCTGTCACTATCTCTCCTATGGTGTTTATCTAAATTATCCCTTGCATTATCTAAGTCGCCATCCATAACAAAGTTCAAATCTCCACACATCACCAAAGTCCCTTTCATATTCTCATTCACCAAATCCATTATTTTCCTAAAGAAAGTTAGCTGACCTGTGTTAGGAAAGTTCACATTGACAATTGTATATATAACGTTGTTAACCTTACCGATCCACAATATGTATCTCCCGTCATCATCTGCCATTATCTTTTCTGTAGTGTTGGCCACATTCCTGCTAAAAAAATGGAAGTACCTCTAGACTTAGTTTTGTAAGTGCAATGAATTGGGATGGGAGTAACCGTGTCATAAATGTGTACTCTTTTCCTTCCTTAAGATGAGTCTCTTGAATACAGACAATATCCGACTTGTTGGATTTGTTTTTTTTGAACAATAGTCACCTCTTGTGATCGGTATTCAGGCCCCTCACATTAAATGACATGAGTTTAATGACCATGACTCAAATCTGAGTATACACCCATTAAAAAGAGAGTGTATCGAAATTTGAGAACCTGAAGGCCCGTGTCCCAAGAGGAGAGTTATGAAACCCAACAATCGTAATAGCAAATACAATTATTTAGACAAGAGTGAGTTTGCTAAAACATTTAACGTATAACCTGGTAACTTCTTAAAATGCTTATAGTGCATAAGGAAATGGATGGAATAAAAAGGAAAAATAAAAAATAGGGAGTGGTAAACTTGGATAAATTTCCCTATATGAGGAAAACCTTATTTAGAAAAAGGGCCATGAGTGAGAGGAGAAAATACGTCTCCATCTCAGGGTATTATGCCCCGGTTGGGGGGAGAGAAGACTGCCTAGGGCAAGGGGACTAGCATAGGTAGTAAACAAGTAAAACAATATTAAGTATACTAGGACAAGAAAAACTGACATTTCGCAGAAAGAAAAATAACAACTGGTAGTGAAGGGTGAAACAACAAAAAGGTAGAAAAATGAAAAAAAAAGAAAAGGAAAAAAAAATATGTACCTATCAATTGTCATAGGTAATTCTGGTAAGCAAAACATAGCCACAGCAATAAGTATTTAGTCACAACGAATGGGATAAGAAGGCCTGATGCAAACAAAGTAACAGTCATTCCTGCATGTCACAGGTCTGGGGTACAGGTAAAGTGAATTGTACATTCAGGTACAAATTATATCCAATTATGAAAAAAGTTTAGCATAGAAAAAACAAAAGAAACAAGAAAAAAACAAGTTTAGTTTGTTAAGTTGTGGATGCCGAGCCATTTTAAAGTAAGAAAAATCTGGTAATATGTGGGACAATCAAGGTAGACCTCAGGAGTCATCTGCTCTGCTTTTCTTGTGGACATGTTTGGGAGTAGAGGGTGAGAGTGCCTGTGGTTGCGCATGTCATCTGGTTATGTTATTAAGAAGTTCCAAGCCTTCATCTGTTGATAATATTGTGTAGTTTCGGCCCTCCATATGAAACAGCACTGTTACGGGGAATCCCCATCTGTATCTTATTCCTCTCTGTCTAACTTCTGTTGTGAAGGGTTGGAATTCCCTGTGTCGTCTCATCGTGTGTGCTGAAAAGTCTTGGAACTCTTTTATGTGTTTATAGTCATCTGGGAGTGCGGACTGTTCTCAAAAATTCCTCTTTGACATGGAAGAAGTGAAGTCGTACTATGGTGTCTTTAGGGGCTGCCACTGGAGCTTTATTGGTTTTTGGTAGTCTGTGTATGCGATCTACAAGAAGGTCCATATTAGTGGCTCTGGGCAAAACTGTCTTGACCATGGTTTGAAAATAGTCCAGGAGTTCAGAGATCTCAACATTATTCGGGATTCCTCTAATTCTGAGGTTGTTGCGCCTGCTCCTGTCTTCTGAATCCGTCATCTTTTCCGCTTGTTGATTTACCTGCTTTTGGAGGTCCTTGACAGTGTCAACTAGGTCTTGATGAGCTTGTTCTTGAGCCTGTAATCTGTATTCAACATCTTCTGTTCAGTGGCCAATGCCTTCCAGAGCCTCACACATAGTATCAAAATCTAGTTTAAAGTCATTTTTTAAATCTAATCTTAGGTTTTGAATTAATTAAATGATCATGCCAGCTGATGGAGGTAGATTGTCCACCATCTCCAGTTGCATATTTGGGTTGTAAGTCATGGTTTTGTAACCTGCAGTAGCCATCTTGGAGGTGGTGGTTGCCATCTTAGTTGTGGCAGTTGCCATCTTGTGTGGCCATCTTAAATGTGGCAGAGTTAGTTGAAAATGTTGTGGCAGCAGTAGAGGCATCAGGGGAATATTGTTTTAAAATTAAATCTTCTTCCATTTCAATATTTACTTCTTCTGAGCTAACTGTAGCACTCACCAACTCTGTGATCTCACAGGAGGTGGAGGAAGCAGCCCCCCCCCCGCTGGTATCGCCAGCCGTGAGGCAGAGGACCCCGACGGGGAACGGGACCGCAAGCCCCCTGCATCCTCCTCTGCAGCCCAGCCGCTTTTATACACGAGCGACATGAGCTGTTTTAATGTTGAGGCAGACTGTCCCCTGCACTCCTCGCGCGTCAAGCACTCGGAGCACACTGAAACGCTCTCCAATCTTGCGGCACATGCGGCCGCGGACCCACTGTCTGCAGCTTGATGCGGGCGGGCCGCAGCCACACTTGCATACGAGCAAGCCTGGGAAGTCGGGTGGGAGGGATGAAGGGATTTCCCCGCTCCCACCAACTGGGATTTTAGGGGCAAAATAAGCCATGGGCCGGTCTTAAGAGTTGGTGATTGGGCCTTCAAGCCCTTACTCACCCCAGCTGCTCCTACATCGTGCTTCAGTGTACCAGACCCGGTATTTTCATTTTTTCTTGGTTTCTGCATGGTGATGAAATGTTCATAAAGCTTTTGCAACAGTCAGATTTCCGTCATTAAAGTTGTAAATGATGATTTTGGAACATTAATGTTCCCTTGATCTAGGAGTCTAAGATGGTGGCCAAACTCCGCCCCTGAAAATGATCTACTTCTACCAGTCCAATTCTATTTGGTACCATGCTTAAACTTTTTGGTCTCTACTCTGGGTGGTAATAGCGTGGGATAGCATACAAGCATTGTGCTATTCTATTATATTTGGGACTGCTAGTCCTCCATCTTTTTTCTTTTTTGATATCAGATTTAAATTTAATCTGGGTTTTTTCCCTTTCCAGATAAATTTGGAGAAGGCTGACTGTATCATTTTTAACCAGGGTGTTGGAACTTGTATCAGTAACATTCTAAAGATATAGTTCCATTTGGGCAGAATGTATGATCGAATAATGTTTATGCGCCCTATCCAAGAGATCTTCTTACTGACGCATTCTTTCAAGGATTTGTTTGTATATTTTATAAGTGGGAGAAAGTTAACCTCAATTACTTTATTTATATTTCTTGGAATTTTAATACCCAGAAACATAATATTATCCTTTGTCCAAGCAAAGTCATAAGTTGTTTTAATAAAGTTCCTATCTTCACTATCAATCTTACTTGCCATTATTGTAGTTGTATTTGTGTTTTTATTTATAATTTGAGTATTCACTATATTGACCCAGGACCTTTATCAATTCCGCCAGCGAAGACCTTGGGTTTTGTATTGTGAGCATAACGTCATCGGCGTATAAGTTAACTTTATGTTCTATCTTATTTATCTTAAAACCCTCAATCCTTCTATTTTGCCTTATTTCTTCTGCCAGGGGCTCGATGGTTAAAACATATTATAAGGGGGACAAGGGGCATCCCTGCCTAGTGCCGTTCGTAATGTTAAACCAATCTGCCTCGATACCTGATCCTAACGTCCTTGCAGAAGGGACTGTGTACAATGCCATAATCGCATCATAGACTGCCCCCACTAGACAATAGGCCTTCAACGCGTCGCTCAAAAAATCCCATCTGACCCTGTCAAAGGCTTTCTCTGCATCCAGTCACAGGGTCAGAAGGGAGACATTCATCCTCAATGCTGTGTCGTGGACATCTAGAACCCGTCTGAGGCCCCCCACTGCTGCTCTACCTGGAATAAATCCAGCCTGATCCTGGTGTATCAAGTCTGGAATACAGATTTTTAGGTGGTCCATTATAATCATAGCATAAATCTTAACGTCTCCATTAAGAAGAGATACAGGGTGATAGTTCGCAAGTATCTCTGGGTCTTTATCCTGCTTCAAAATTGGAACAATATTGGCTTGGAGCATCTCCTTAGGGAAGGTACAATTGGCAACGATCTCATTAAAGTTATGAGAGATCGGCATTTTACAAGAATGTGATACACGACGGCTGTGCGTTCCAAGGGTGGAACGCAAGGACCGGAAACCGGAAGTCCGGCGAGCCGGCAATGCAGAGAAAGGAGGAAAAAAAAAGCGGCAATGAAAGGCTTTTTAAAACGAAGAACAATTCGGGAAAATTTACAGCAACTGAGGAAGCCCCTTGAAGGGGCGAAACGCGTTTTGCTACCTAGACTACTAAGACTGCTCAACAGAGTTTGTAAGGTCTTTTAATATTCTTTTTATTTTGTTTATATTAATAAATGTTATTTTATTTCACCTGTGAGCCTGTGATTACCCTGCATAAGGAACTTGGAACACAGAGGAGGGTGTGGGACCCTTTACATCCCACAAAGTGAACAACTTGAGCCTAAACTTTAGTGGCTCCATCCTTGTAAGTTTGCATTTGTCAAGACCTTATTGAATTTGCAAAATTAAGAGTACAAGCAATATTGCACTATTTTCTGCTATTTTATTCTTTTTAGAGTATACTGTATGAAATGTACCTAAGCAAAGGACTACTTGAAAAGTGCATGTAAGATACTCCACCTTATACCTTGTCGTGTCTATAAATCGTAGACTATCTGCTCTTCTCCAATACGTCTCTTGTAGAAAGGTAATTTGAGCTTTTTCTTTCTTAATGTAATCAAATAAAATAGCTCTTTTACATGGGGAGTTTAAACCCTAGTGTTTAACAAAATAATTTTAACCATTAAATATTTTCGTCTTCTTAAAAATCCGTAAAATGGCTCTCCTACTTACCAAATTTAAGTTGTACATAATTCTCCAGAAAATATTATCCATAATCTGCATGCACTTTCTTTATCAATTCTTTCCTAGTTTGAACATCCACCCCAGCTACTACCACACTAATCATACCAATCATACAGTATCCCCTCATTATCAAGGGGCATCCATAACCTTGTCTCTGAGCCCCAATCTCAGAGTACAGCTTCGAAAAATGAAAACCCCTTTATTGGGATCTCATCCTCACCAGGATGTATCCTAAATAAGGAAAAAAAGCTGAGCTACAATCGCCCCCTAAGATTATCTTACTCCTTAGCCCTCAAATTAGTTGAAAATCTGTCAAAATTGTAATTATCCCTAATATATGTGCTTTAATAAGAACCCTTATACTACACAGACATTTACAGTCCCAACAATTCTTTACCGCCTAAATCTATAGACCTTATTGAAACTTATGATAGGCTTACTTCTATCTTGGCTCTAGTGTTTATAACTTTGTGATAAAAAATTATACTTTTGGTGCCATTGTTATGTATCTATTAAAGACTTAATCAATCCACGTGTACATATTTTCAGTTAATTATTACCGTGTACTACCCATATCTTCAACATATTAATCATCTTATTTATTAACGTGTACACAAACTGTGCTGTATAATCTCTATTTTATCAATAACTCCCAACCTTATAATCTTTTTGCTGCATTACCCACAAGCCAACACATTTATCACAGCAATCCAATTTGCTTATATATAACTGTAAAAAAGCAAAAGAGAAATAAAACAAAACACAACCCTCCTCTTTTAGTATATTCAATCGAGTTGTGAAACTGTGAACTGTACACATTATCTCATTTACAGACTTATAATCTAATCATTACTGAACATTATTTTCCAACCATTTTGAGATCTTCTCAAGTGAGTCAAAAGATTCTGTAAACCCATCTTTAGTAACTATAAGTTTGGTTGGGAACCCCACCGATATTTTGTGTTATTTTCCCTTAGGCGTAGTGTCGCTAGGTATAAATTGTTTTCTTGCTTTTCTTGTCTGAAAGGACAGATCTGGAAAAACCTTAATATCATTAAATTTCCCTTGAACTAATTCCTTTTGTCTTGCCGCTTTTAACATCTTGTTCTCTAAAAGTATAAGAGTGACAGGCAATAATTGTGTCTCTTGGAAGTTTGTCTGGGAGTGTTCTTGGTTTAAATATTCGGTGCGATCTTTCAAGAAAGTCCACTTTGTCATCAATATTAATTTTAAGAATTTTAAAGAACTCAAAGATATACATTTCCAAATTATCTTGTGTGATAGCTTCCGGGATGCTCCTTATTCTTAAATTATTTATTCTGCCTCTGTCTTCTATATTTGTCACTCTCTCTGCTAGGTCTATTATCTTCCTTTATTGTTTCTCAATTGTCTCCCTTTGCTTTTCTGCGAGAAATTCTAGATTTTCTATTTTTTGTTCATTAACTTTGACTTGTTGTCCAATCTCCATTATATCTTTTTTTTAAAGCGGCATAACTCCCCTGCATTTCTTTCTTTATTTGTTTCAGCTGTAAATCCAGGCATTCTTTTAAGTAAACTGGAGTAATCAGTTGTATATCTGCTGGATAATCAATTCCCACAGTATTACATAAATAGCCACTATCATTATTTAAGAAAGCTTTATTTGGGGAAGATATCTGGAAGATTTCTGAAGTGCTTTTATCTACTGCTGGGGCAAAAAAATTAGAAAGTCTCTTTTCCTGTTTGTCTTTCTTTTCACGGTCTTTTTTGGGGGCAGGTTTTTGATCTTGCTTTTGATCAGCTGTTTTCCTAGTTGCCATTATTCTGATTAATTTCACATAAGCTTTCTGAGGCGTATTTTGTCTGCAAACTGAGTTTTACAGAAAATCCCTCTCTTTCTCTTTTTCAGCGAAATCCTCCTTGAACAATATCTCTTTGAGGATGTAACGGCACCCTCAGCATAACAGGGTTAAACCGCTGTTTAGTAGATCTTCCCCTTTCAGAGATACAGGCACAGCTACTGCAGAACACCAAACTCCCGAACCGCATACAAAATAGCACTCCAAACTCCCGAACTGGAACCTCACGAATAGCTGCTAGTAGACAAATAGGAAAAGCACCCAAGCGGCTTACACTCCTAGCAATCAGTCTCTATCAGCATACAGTAAATGCCCCAAGAACGAGACAGAGCTCCGT